GCTTCCAGAGACCTAACTGCCAAATGCAGGGCGAGGCCAAACGTAGCACAGAGTCAAACAGAACTTTTCAAAGCTTGAACTGACCAGATGAACTAATTGCTTCCTGCAAAAGCTCACATCCCGTTCACTCCTCTTTTATGTCTTATGGGAGGGGCCAATCATCTCCAAGCCTTACTCCCGAGTCGACCCTGTTTTCTTAATTGTTCTTGCCTTCTGGCAGCTCTGGTGGATGCTCACACTGGGAACAGGCTCCTGCTGTTCTTCTGCCTCACTGATGTCAGGCTCCGAGGCTCCGAAGGTAGCTGATAACTGGCATACGTCCTTGGCCTCCTCTCTGCCTCTGACACAGAGCCCTCATCGAAGCCTTCGCCAGACTCCAGGACTGGCCCATGTTCCTCCCCAACCTCCTCACTGTCAGAATCTACTGCCGGTTCTGCTCGCCGCTGGCAGGCCACAACACAAATTCTCCATGCCATCATACCATTTCAGCCCGGCTTTGCTTTGATAGCATTCTGCCATAAAAAGGGGTCGGGGTGGTGGAATGGCAGAGATATAGTGAATGTGGGATGAAAAGAATCAGAAGTGCCAACCGGAGTCAACGGTTGAGCGATCCAGGGACACCAGCATGGGAATGGAATGCAAACAACCATCAAAAAGGCATCCAAATGTGGAACTGTTACCAAAACACCTAACTGCAATATCGTTAGCAACATGACCAAGGGGGAGATGGTCCAGGTGAAGGGAAAAACACCAGGATTGTGCGGGAATATTCAGATCTGGCTGTCAGATCCGTGAATCTGCCGTTCATCAGGGGAACAGGGGGGCTATTTTTCCTTTACACTTTACTATCCTTCTTTCCTATATATCCTGTACAATTAATTACTTTATAACTTCTATTTTTTAAATAGTTTTTATTGAACATTTTTATCTTTAAAAACAGAAAGAAAAACACACAAAAAAAGAAAAGAGAAAAACAAGACAAACATAACAATATAAAGTAATTACACAGCCTTCCGTATTGGCATTCATGTTTAGCCTTTGTAATTCTCCACTCTACCTTGCCTTCCTATCGATTTTAACTTCTGTAATAGTGTCATAACAGTTGTACTAACACTTTTAATAATATTAATTGTTCATATCACCATTTTATTTACATTGTAGTCAATATTTTAAGTTTGATTGTAATTAGTAACTTTGGTTAATTTTTATTCAATACTAGTTTAGAGTGGGGGGAAACACAAACAAAGACTTCTATTTCCTACTTTGGCTTCTGTTTTCTAGCCACTTATAAATTCTATTCCGTATTTTATAGAGATCCGATTCTTCTCTTTCTTTTAATTCCATGGTCATTTTGTCCATCTCTGCACATTTGAGTACCTTTCTAATTATTGTTTCATCTTCGAGCATATTAATTCATTTCCAGTTTTGTGCTTTATAACTTCCAGCCTGGCGGCCTCGAGGCCTGGCATTTTCTCACCTTTCGGGGAATGCGAGGGGAAGGAGGGCCATGTGGGCTGCATTGCTCAGGAAACGACCCTGAGAAAGTCGTCTTATCACTTTCTCAGAGCGTCTGTTACAAAAACATCTTCACACCTGTGGATGGGATGAATCCACCTCGGACTGTTGGGAGGGGACTCTTAATTTCCTTTATTCTTAGTGTATTGCCTTAAGGACCCCAGATCCTGCTTTGCCTTCGCCCAGCTATCACTCCTTTTTCAATAAAAGGTTCCTTTTGAAATGTTAAGTTTCAAGAGTCTTCCTTGATTAAGGTGGGGAGGCCTTGCACTGGCTCTTGCTTACGCTGTAATCACTTTCCTTTAGTAAAAGTCTACCTTTTGCTACAAATGGAGTCAAGGATCTTCTTTTCCTAAGGAGGCGTGTTGGGAATAGCCTGACACTCCAGTAATAAATAAGAACCAGTGACCTCATTTGATCCTCAGTGACTGCATTGTGAACCCCATGCAATACCAGATTATTTCTGTTGCAGGTAATTTCTACTATTACCTACCGTGGTATGATACTAAACCCATGGTGACCATCACCTCGTTCTGGGAGGATGTTAGCTACCGCGTTGCCTGCACAAACACTCTCCAGTTCATTCATGACAGGCTGGTAAGCTTCAAGAGGAAGGGAAGGAGTCATTATGCCCAACTCACCCAAGCAAGGTGCAATGAAAAGTTGTTGATGGAAGGGGAATGCACTTTCCATATTGGTGTCTTCAAACTTGGGGGCTTAGATAAATATACACAATAATAGAGTTGGAAGGGATGTTGGAGGTCCTCTAGTCCTCCTGCCCAGACAGCAGACCTTATACCATCCCAGACAAATGGTTGTCCAGTTTCTTTTTGAAAACCTCCACAACCTCTGGAGGCAAGTTGTTCCATTGATTAATTGTTCTCCCTGTCAGGAAATTTCTCCTAAGTTCTAAGTTGCTTCTCTCCCTGATTAGTTTAGGTTTAGGTTTATTCGATTTATATGCCGCCCTTCTCCCAAGGACTCAGGGCGGCGTACAACATTGGGTACAACACTCATTGCTTCTTATTCTACCCTCAAGTGCTTTGGAGAATAGTTTGACACCCCTCCCTTCTTTGTGGCAGCCCCTCAAATATTGGAAGACTGCTATCATATCATCCCTAGTCCTTCTCTTCGTTAGACTTAACATAACAGGTCAACAAGACTTGAGCCTCACTTAGACCAAGCAGTAGACTATAATTGGTGATTTCTAACCCATTAGTCACAAGATGGACCATAGAACCATCAAGGTCCATTCTGCTTCTTAATGTTCACTCGCAAAGCACTCCTGGCCTTCTCTTGATTTGCCATAGGCAGGAGGGGGGAGCTGCCACAACCAGAAGCACATTCCACGCATACCTTTCTCCAGATTGTATAGCAATAGCAGTTAGACTTATATACCGCTTCATAGGGCTTTCAGCCCTCTCTAAGCGGTTTACAGAGTCAGCATATTGCCCCCAACAA